CACGGCAGGTGCACAGAAAAGCATTGATCTCATATAGGAGCCAAACCATAATCAAGAAATGGCCTCACACCAAAGAACAAAACACTTCCTTTTGATAGCTAACACCTTAGATTACAACTGGAAAAAAGAAGTAGAAGTCAGTGGACACACATTAGGTTTCAATAAAACATTTACATTCATCCTTTACTGACGTGTGTGCATCTTTCACAAATATTAAAAATGAGCACAGCATTGGTGTAAAGATTGCAGACCCTAGGGCTGGAATAGTCATTCCAGTCTGAGCCTCTCAGCTTAGCCATTTACTGGCATTGTGACTCTAGGCTTACTATTTAACCTGTTTCCTCATGTGTTAAATAGAGTGATAATAGCATTTTCTCCAAAGGCTGTTGTAAGAAGTGAATACCATTACTATCTATTACAAATGTGGGAAACCACCAACCTTCATCTGAATTTCATTTATGCCTCAATTCATTTAAATTAGAGCTAGTTTAGAGTTGTTAAATTTTAACAATACATTCAGGAATATACTAAAACACCACAAGATGGGGATATTACTGCGTGAATCTCTTCACCCTTTTTCTTCCTCCACCCTTGTATTTCTGTCTCTTGGTCTGGGTCTAAGAGCACTGGTCATTTTGAGTTTATTTTTGTGAATGGTGTAAGAAAGTGGTCTAGTTTCATTCTTCTGTATGTTGCTGTCCAGTTCTCCCAGCACCATTTGTTAAAGAGACTGTCTTTTTTCCATTGGATATTCTTTCCTGCTTTGTCAAAGATCAGTTGGCCATACTTTTGTGAAATAAGTCATACAGAGAAAGACAGATACCATGTTTTCACTCTTATGTGGATCCTGAGAAACTTAACAGAAGACCATGGGGGAGGGGGAAAAAAGTTAGAGAGGGAGGGAGGCAAACCATAAGAGACTCTTAAAAAACTGAATAAACTGAGGGTTGATGGGGGGTGGGGAAAGTGGGTGATGCACATTGAGGAGGGCACCTGTTGGGATGAGCACTGGGTGTTGTATGGAAACCAATTTGACAATAAATTTCGTATTTAAAAAAAAAAATAGAGCACAGGTCAG